TTCTAAATTTTATTAATAATATTTATATCACATTAGTTTGGATATCTACTATGAGTAGTTTCAGAATATCGAATATGAATATCAGCTAGTAGTTATTGAAATGTATAAATTATCGCAATACTTTCACCGATTTTATTTCACCTGAAAATAATATACTATAAAATACACTATTTAAAGCAAATGTGCTAAAAATGTAGATGTAGCTCTTCAATAAGATGATAATAACAAAGAGCTTTTCTGCACCAAGCACACATCAATAGTGTTCGTTCATCACAGTTGTTAGTTGAACAGTACAGATCATAGAACTTGAAACAAACGTCTTTTGGCTTTTCAATCTGTTCAATTGTTTCGTTTGTTATTCGAGCTTGTATAAACCCATTCTTTATGAGATTTTTGAATTGTGGAGCAGATAATTGATTGTGAATGATAGAATGTATGTTGATGAAATATTGACGATCACTTACATTCATTTCTGTACGATTGATATGAATATAGTGTTCAATCTTTTCATGAATAAATCGCCATGAACGAAACAAAGAAAGATCTTGTGGTTGAATATAGCCAGTTGATCCTTCAGGAAAAATTAATAATTGACTATCTTGATTAGGAAAGGCTGCTCTAAATTTTGTTAGATCAGCTTGAGTTTTCCAAGAATCAAGGAAAAGAAGAAATTTTTTACCAACCAATGGACGCAAAACTTCATTTAGAAAAGCATGATGTTTTTCATCGCTGCTTTTTCCTGATTTTGAAGCTTTGACTACAACATTTGGTGGTACAATTAATTTTTTCTGCACATTTACACCAAATGTATTTTCTTTTTCCTGGAGAATAAGTAGGAACTTGTCTAATAAGTGACCATCGGCTGATGTAACTGGTTGGACTGTATATGAATGTGTTGTATTATATTTCTTCTTAACAGCCACCTCTGTTGTTCTTTCACCAGTAAAAGAAAGGGTTCTTGGCGGAATGTATTCTTGTTGAAATGAACAATGATCACTGTTTAAAATTTGATGAGAAGAATACTTTGATATTAAAGTTCTTTTACTGTCAATCCAATTGTGAGCATCTAAAACATATATATATATATTACATTAAGATATATGTATTTAAAGACCCAATAAAAGTTTACATACCATTTAAAGTACAAAATTTTCTATTTGGATTAGTTCGAGTAATAATTTTGTTATATCTTCTTGATGATATTCTATTTTCTCTCTTAAAAGTATTGATAAAACATTTGCTGGCCTTGAACGTATCCCAAGTTAATTCTCTTGCTTTTTGAATTGCATAAAGTTCAAGGTCAGCATCGTGAACAGTTTCTTTTTCAATTGCTCGTTTCTGATAAAATTCGTTAAACATAAATTCTTTAATTTGTTTTAATTTTTCCAATCTTGTACCATTGTTTTCGATATATTGTCTAAACCGTGTAATGTAATACATGTATTTAACCTTTTTAAATCGATTGGAAATAGTTGCAATTTTAGCATTAGGATGTTGGTCAACCCATTCTATTATATTTTCCATTTCTTCTAATGTGAAATGAGTTTGTATATCAGAATCTTCATTCTCGTCGTGATCATCGTTGTCATCATCGCTTTCTTCTTCAGTAGTCATTTCATCACATTCATCGTCAAAGTCGAGACAGTCATAAGTGTACAATTCACTAAAGTGGCTATCTTTAATTGATTTCAGAATTTCGTATAATCGTTCAGCAAGAAAAAATTCATCATTGGTTGTTGCAGATTTTTCAAATCCATATTCAGTTTGAGCCAAATGAAGAAGATGTTTCGCAACGTTCAATAAGTTCATGCTTTGCTCCGATGAAATAAATCTTTTTTACTTGGTAGGTATAAAAGAAAACACAAGTGAATAATTCTTAAATGGTATATTTATTTGTGATTTGTTAACACCAATAGCAAAGAAGTGGTCAATAGACCATCAAGTGACGCACCAATGCACTTCAAGTTCAAGTACCGACGTATAAGTCATTTCTTTAGATATGACTTTTTTTCTTTCTGTACTACTTAACTTATAGCAGATATCCAAACTAATGTGATATAAATATTATTAATAAAATTTAGAA